AAATTATGTTTGTATTAAGATATCTAAAATTACCTTTTTTACTTTCTAAAACGAATTCACTTCCATGATCAGGTATTAGGAACCTCACTGCCATTCCAAATAGCATTTCATTTTTTTAAATGCTGTCTGAAAGATATTTATTGTGCAGATTATTTTACTAGTGCATTGAGCTTTTTACCTTCACACCATCACTATAAAGCTAAGCAGCAGTTTAAAATGAAGCAATAAGGATTCTTTCTGAAATGGATGCGTCTTTCTTGGTTCCTCTATAAAACTCCACACGCCCTGCAATATTCACTATATAAGAACATTGCACACAGAAAAATAATTCTCTATTAATAATGTATCTAAGTAAACTGAATTCCATAATATAAAAAAATTAACAAGTTCCTTCTTTAACATTGTTCTGTCATCCTCAAATAAATTTGGCCTATAAACCTTTCAAAAAACTAATCCACTGTGCATGCTGATAAGTGAAAGTTGCAAAACAGATAGGCAACTTGTAGATGTCTCCTGGCTATGCTCATCAATCTGATCCCAAAACTCTTTCTAGCGGAATTCCTTTCCACTGGTTGCATTAAGATTCACTCAGTGAGTGATTTGCTGGAATGTATGACCACCATATTTTAGTTTAGAAAGAAGTTTCCTCCAGGAACTCATCTGAATTGATCAGATGGAGCGGAGATGTGATTGTACACCATCCTGCCCTGCAGTAGGGTGCTAGATCAGGTGACTATTTTCCCTCTCCTAGCACCATTTTTAAGGCTGAAATCCTACATACACTTAGCGAAAAGTACACATTCATAAACTGATAGATCAGTTTGTTAATGTTGAAGATTGTACACTAAATGCCTATCATTTTTTATTATTTAAGGGACGGGGTGGGGTTAGAGAAGCATCAATACAGGCATTTCAATTCAGAACAAATCCACTCTTTTTAAAGTTTTATTCAACAATCATAAGATCAATCACCAAATCAACAAGGGACAAAAACCACAAAAGTACTAGAAGTCCCCAACACCCAGAAAGCATATTTAATGGAAATGCTGCATTACTCCCCATATTAAAGAAAATATAACATTATACACAAAAAGCTACCTCCACGTCATACAGAATTCTCATCCATTTATAGCTTAATTCTGAACACTAAAAAATAAATAAATCAGAACCTAACTTGTTTTTTCTCATTAAAGCAGACTTTGCAAGATCAATGGCAGCTGTACAACTGAGAATTATACCTTCAAATAGCTAGTATTCAATGCTTGGGCATTTAAGAGTTAAAAAAACCCAAGAGAACTAAGCTTTGCTTCTCAGTGACCACAATTACCACATACTCAGCATTACTACTTCCTTCAGAAACAATCCTCCTGAGTAAAAAATGGTAGTAGCAATACAACCTGTAGCACCGTGTCTATATTTAAGCATCCTAAAATAAGGACACATTTTGTGGGGCAGGGTGGGAATGACATGTACCATGAAAGCTAAAACGTAATGGGACAGATGTGTCAGCCTTTTACATGAATGACATCCTTGCTGGAATACATCTCCAAGCATCTGGACAGCCACACTGCACACAGCTATTCACATTCATATCCTAATTTCAACCACACTTACACTGTAACCCTATATATGAAGTCAGAAATAAATCCCATTGAGTTCAATGGGACTTTTTCCAGGGTGAGTATAGGATTGCAGTCTCAATCATTTAACAGCTTTCATTTAACAAGGAGAGATTTAAAATTACAACTATTTTTTTTAGCGAAGAAATGACTGCTGTACTTAACCAAAAAACTATTTACCTCTACGCTCTCATTACTTTCTCAAAGTCCATAGCGTTTTGTGAGAACGCCCTTTGAAAGGTTGCCTGTGGAGTTATTATTCTGAAATTATGAACTTCAGGAAAATACTGGTGTACATTTGGTCATTTTTTTAAAGGGAGGGGTAACATTTTCAAGGTCATAACTCATAAAATTCCTGTTCAACATGTTTTACTGAACTTCTCCATAACTCTTCCTCAGATTTTATTAATATCAAGTCAAATACTAAAAGCAAGTGATATAGAATATCATTTCACAAAGTAACTATGCATTTCCTCATAAACTATTGAGTTCCTTTAAAATGTCATAAAATCAATGGGATTTTAACTAAGAAAATATTTTCAGTGTGTGTTCTATACACCAAGATTTCATATGTCATAAGGAAAGAATTACCAGTCATACATGTATGTACAGCAGCTTTTTTATTTTAAAAAATGTGCATTGCACTACTCAAACACAGAATACACAATAAATCTATCTACCATACAGCAAACAAGAAAAAGTCAGCAGACTATTATATGCAGTTGTCCAATTTTATCAAGTAGTATTACTGGAAATTCCAAAGCAGAATTACTGGACATTCCAAATCAAAATTCTGCAGTATTGTCTTTCCTTAAACATTCTTATTTTCTAGTTATTAGATTATAAGTAGAGAAGCACAGACAAACAATGCTTACCTGTTTTTTAACAGTTTTGTGCCCAATAAGGATATTCATTCTGAGCATTTGACCAATTTTACTTACACTCTGGATGAAAAGTGTTTTGATAACCTGGATTAACTTGAAAATGCTTGCTAATATCCCAAGCTAATCAAAGGGCAGCAGCACTGAGGGGTTTTCTTCAAAGTATGCCAATAGTATGATTCATGTAACTAGCTGCAATTAATTTTGTTACTTCTGGTCATATCAGATAAACTAAACTTACTCTGTGCTAAATACAAACTCACATGGAATATAGTTCACAAACGCAACTATCATTGATACGCACAAAAAGTTTTATAATCTAGCTGTTGCCATTGAACTGTTTAACTGCCAGGCATCTATGGAACAATTAATACCTATAAATATTACATTGATCAAAACTTTAGTTGGCTACAATATTTACAATGCTAATCGAAAATTCACACCTACACAAGATCAGTGTGTCTAGTCTAATTTAAGGATGATCAGAAGTTAGCATAGTTCAGATTAAGACTTCAGGATTTATAAATGGAAGAAACCCAAAATACAGTAGGTTGGAGAATCCATGAGCTCAAACTATGCGTCAGGCTCATGTTCAGTTCTAAACAGAAACATTAACTAGCACCATTAAAGAGTGACATGTATTAGCATGTTTATGTAGTTTATGGATGCCCATATTTATTTATTCACTAAAATTGATCAATACTGTGGTTTCAAATATAAACAAGGTCTCACAGGACCAAAATTAGTGATTAGTAAATAACAACAACAAGGGATTAGTTTACACCTGTTACAGTCAAACTGTACAAGCTCTCTCTCATGCTGGCATTTCTTCAGAGGGAACCTGTTTACGTCACAGGAACACTTAACACAAGGCTGTAAACCCCTCATCATGCCTTGTCTTTTTTTTTAACCTTCAGAGGAAATTTCTATTGAAATCTTTGCATCCGCCCAATTCAACACTTAATATTGATTTTAATTAGAATGGAAAGGACTCCTGTTAATGTAGCAAACAAAAGATTCCAATCTTGCTTAATACTATATAGCTAAATCAAAGGTTATGATTTAGAATTTGCATTGATGATCAAACACAAATTCTTCTGCACTGTCATCTCACATTGGCTACTCTTATGAATATCACAAACACATCTGTAATTTATTCATCTATTGTCTCCAAACTCGATTTGCCATTATAGCTATAATCCAAAACTGTCACAATTTTATGTCCATATCGATTATGTCATCTATATACCGGCTTTCACTTTTTTAAAATATACAAGCTTTTTCATCAACATTTTAAATACTATTTCATGAAAAAGACACCATTCATAAAAAATAACGCATTGTTATATACTGCATCTTGAATGGAATTTTTCATATAAGTCTTTGAACACATACACTCTCTGCCTCTGTACCACAACTATCAAAAGAGAATAACAACCTTTGTATCAAACAACAATGATCCACTTCGGAATTTAAGACAGTAGAAAATGAAACACTCTTGTTTTACTCTTGACAGTCTTTCTAACTAGTTTACAAGATTCAATCATATCTATGAACCAGTACCACATATAAATAATTTTTCTTTTCATTACAAGAAAAAAGAAAACAGGCCATCTCAATGGAAAGCCACCAGTGCTAGAGTTAAGAAAAATCAAATGACTATCAGAACACTTCCTTTATTGACAATGTTTCTTTTATCAATAATGCTTCATTACTGGTCTATATAAAGAAATGTTGCTTTTAATTTACATTAAATACCTCCACACCAGTTTAGAAATCTTTATCAACATTATGCATTCAAAAATGATAATAAAACACCATATATGAATTATACAGCCTTCAGTATGTATATTTTATAATTCAATCTTATAGTACTTATGTGTACAATATTCTTAGAGTCTAAATTTCCAAATAAAATTATTTGTTTTCTTTCGCAATAGGTTTCCGTTATATATCACAATTGTGAAAAATACACAAAATCAAAGAAACATCTGAAGAGCAGCACTTGGAATTTATCTCATGTTAAGATGTATGAACAAAGCAATGAAGCAGAACCAAAGTACGTAATGGATTTAAGGTAAATGGCCTATTCTACAAGGAGAACCTGTGTTTTTACTTATGAGCTTAATTGCTATAATGTCTGAAAACTTCAGCAAAACCTGTAATGCCAGCTGTCAAACAGCCTGTTTTTTAAAAAAAACATTTCTTGCAATAAGATGAACTGTGTAGAACACACATGCATAATAGCAATGATTCTTAGTTTTTCCACAATCAGGTTTAGACAGCAAGCTATCTTTTCTTTATTGCAAAATAACAAATACCAATATATTTACTTAGAATTGCTTGTGAATATGCATTTTACTATTCAAGAATGCCAGTTATTGTAGTGGTATGCTAATACTATTTAATTCTACAGGTACGCTAATGTTGTTTAATTATACAGAATGTGGATACATTACCCTAGGGATTTAACAAATAATCTTCTAAAGCTTGCACCTACCTGGATAAAAGTCTTTGGATTTAGAGAGCTTGATGGTAGCTCCAGTCTCTTTCTGCAGCTGAACAATTGTCTGTCCTCCCTTCCCAATTATAGATCCAGCCGCATAACTAGGTATGAGGACCTTTAGAAAATATTGGCCGTCCTCTGAAAAAATTGAGATATTGAAGGTTAATTAGCTGCCTAAAATCTCATTCATCCTCAAACCTACAAAAATATGCCTTTCTATTATAGTATTAACGTACAGGTATTCTGCACAGATATGTAACCAGTTGCACTATCCTTCATATCCGCTGTGAAAAAATGAAGAATCTAATGAATTGTCCTTAATTTGGTGGTGCTATGAGAAGCAATGATCCAATTCAAGTTGTAATTCTGAATGTAAAATAGTTACTAAGGTATGATATAACTCTTCAGAAAGAAAGAAAATACCTTACACAAGAATTTTGTTAAGAACTACAACTTTCCCTAAAAATGCTGCAAACTGGAAAGAAAACATTAAAAGGGCATTTGTTCACCATTAGCACTGTACTCTCCACAACACACAGCTTTATCCACTAAATTCAAAATTTGAGATTTTATTCAAAGAGTTTTAGCTATTGACAAGAAAACTTGGCAATATAAGTGGATGCAACCATTTGCCTAAGTAATCCAGATGTATTTTTAAATGCTTCTCAAGTGGCAATGATCTCTTAATCAAAGGACATTAATAATATTTCCCCCTTTTAAAAAACCTGGAGTCATGCATACACTTTAAAAGGTGACTGCTTATGTCATGCCCAATGTAATGCCCAAATCAGAGCAAAACCAAAGAAAGAAAAAAGCCAGAACTGGGGAATGAATCAAATATTTCTTTACAACTGAACAATTTGCTCCTCCAATGAATGACATCAATTCTATGGACCTTAAAGAAACTGCTCTGAAAGGATCTCATGTAAAAACAACACACACATTTAAGCCCTCTTTATTAAAACACAAATACACACCCCTATCTGCTTTTCACAGCTTAACCTAAAAATGCATCATTACAGAACTTTGCTTCTATAAAGGAGCAGGTTCAGAGCCATCCTACTTTTCTTTGAGAGTCCATGTCCCAGCTAGTACAGGTGCGCCCCCCACCCCACCCCGCAAAGACATTATACAAACAGTTAAATACACGAGCTATCTAGTTCTGCCGTTTGTTAATGTTGGATGAATAAATTCACCTCTGCCTCGGTGCATTGTTATGAAGACTCCAGTGCAAATGAATAGAGGAGATGCTGGTCCCGTTATAACTCATCTCATCCAGGAAGAGCAGGATGTTAACTAACAAGTCACCGCACCAAGACAGGCAACTCCCGCCCTCCCTCCGCAAACCTCTCTCTGACACACACACACGCGCGCACACATCCCATCACCGTGACCCAACCCCAGGAAGAACAAATCTTTGCAACATTTTCCACCGTAACAGAAAGTGGTGCCAGGAAATCGACAAGATTTTTGTTGTATTGGGTGGGTGGGAGGAAAAAAAAATCTACCTGGCGACTCACGAGAGTGGGGGCTTAAGAGGGGATGGGGGGGGTGAAAGTGCTTCTTTTCATCCGCCATTTATTCATTTAGTTTCTCCCAATTGTTCAAAGGCGTGCGCTGGTTAGGGGGGCGGGGGGGGAGAGAGAAAGAAGCAGGCGAAAGAAGCAGCCCTGGGCTTGGTACAGCGCGGTGGGTCGAGGCTGAACAGCCCTCCCCTCCACCCCACCGCGACCCCAAGTCAGGACGAATATGCGAAATTAAAATAAAACGGGGCTGCTAGATGCTCGGAAAGCGGCGCCATTTTGATGAATGATAACATTAGAGAAATAAGGAATGTTTGGGGAAAGGGAAAGGAGGGCGAGGTGAGGCGAGGAGGCAGGTAGGAAAGGGGAAGGTGGGTGGGGAATTTGGGAGGAGGAAGAGGAGGAGGGGAAGGAGGAGGAGGAGGTGGTGGTGGTGGAGGGGGGGCCAATACCCACCGCCCGTGTTGGTCCTTTTGGTGCTGCCGGCTTCGGGGGGAGCTTCAAGTGGTCTTTTCCGAGAGTCCGGCGGGTCCAGGTCTATGGGCACCCCAGTGTGGGTCCCGTTCTGCTGGATGGGAGCTGCCGCCATCATGTTTGCTGCCGCCGCGAGAAGGATAACTGGCTTCTCCCTTCGGGGTGGGGGGGGAGCAGGGAGGGGGGAGGAGGAAGGAAGGGGGGGCTCGTCCCGCTTCTTTCGGGCTTCTTCTTGTCCTCCTTTTAAAAGCTCGAGCTAATCTGGCAAGTCCAACACCCCCTTTCCCCAAAAGGATGGGGTTTTTTGGGGGGTGGGGGCTGGAGGAAGAAGAGGAGGGTTTGTTTATCTGGCACCGGTGAAATGGGTGGGTGGGGAGGGGAGCAAAGGGGTGGGGGGTGGGAAGCCAGGCAGGACGAGTGGCTGAAGGAGCAGCTGCAGTGCAGTGCCAGCAAGCAGAAGCTGAGGTAAAAGAGAGAGAAGGGGGAAAAGGGAAAAGAAAATTAAAAAAGGGAAAAGAGGGGAAGAAAGGGGGGTGGGGTGGGGTGGGAGGGGGGAGAAAGAGAAAACAAGGGGAGAGAAGAGAGGTAGGGGAGGAGGAGGGGGAGAAAGTGAGACGGAGGAGAGTGAGAGAGAGGGGGGAAGGAGGGAGAGAGAGAAAGGAGGGGGGACGGGAATGAGTGAGTGAAGCAGCGGAGAGAGGGAGGGAGGGAGCGAGGCTGACGAGGAGGAGCGAGCGAGGTGGCTGAGCGGGTAGGTGGCTGAGCGAGCGAGCGAGCCAGGGAGCGGGAGAGAGAGAAGAGGAGGGGGATAATTCAGGGAATTTGCCTCTGTGGCCCCTTCAGCCTCCACTCCCCGCCTTTTTCTTTCCTTTTCCCCTCCCCTCCCCTGCCTCTAGTCGTGCGCCTGCTTCTGCAGCTGGTGTCGAGCGGCTGCCTGAGCTGAGGAGAGCTGCTGCTGCTGTTGGTGGCTGTGGCGGTGCTGCTGCTGCTTTCGCGCTCTCATTCTCTCCCCGTTTACGAGTCTTGTCTGTGGCGCGCTGCCGGGCTAGACTCTCTCTTCAGTCAGGAGTTGCTCTCGCTTGAGCCGCTTCTCTCGCTCCCTCCCTCCTGCGCGCGCACAGCCACTCTTCTCACACGCGCGCGCGCGCGCTCCCACAAAAACTCAGGAGCTCGTGGCTTTCGGTTGTGTGGGAAGCCGGCTCGCGCTCCTTTCCCCTTCCCTCACCGACACCCCCAAAACCCAAACGGGTTTTTTTTAAAAAGAGAGAGGGGGGGAGGAGGACAAGAGGGGGCGTGAGGAAAAGGAGGGGGGCCGAAAGAGAGAGATGACAGTTAAATTATATATATATATCTATATATATTAAGGCAGGCCTTAGACGGAAGGATGGGTGTTTGAGCCAATAGGAGCTCAGGAGCGCTGAGCTCGGATTGGAGGGTTGAACCAATCACAAGAGACTTGTGGAACGGGGGCCCCACGCTGCCCTTAACACCCCTTAACGCATAGAGAGTAATAGGTGTCTTTCTTCACTACCGCAGGCGGAAAAGCGGCCCTGGGGCAAAAGCTGCTGGGAAAGGAGCACCACACGGTACACACACAAGCAGAACTCGTGTCCATGAGCAGGGCTGGCTCCAGGTTCGCGCCGGGAGACCTTGTCAACCGCAACCGCATCTTAAGCGAGCGGGCAAAGTTGGCAGGTCACGCGCTTTCTCTCCTGGGGCAGCGCGGTGGCGAGGGAGAGCAGGTGTGCGAGCGGGGAAAGGGCGGCCGGCTGCCCCTTGCCAGGAGCAGCTGCCTCAGTCAACCTCCCGCTGGCTCGCTTCTCCCGCTGCTGGGAGGCTGGGAATTGGGGAGTCCAGTCCTCCCCATGGCGCTGCCCAGAGGAGGGAGGGTGAGCCAGCACAGGGGCAAGTGGTGGTCTTCCCCCCCCAAAAAAAAAAACACAACCACACACCCAGCATCAGCCAAGGCTTCTTGCTCACCGCCTCACTCTGGAAGCCTCCTAGCGGGACCCAATGCCACCCAAAAGAGGCAGTAAACTGGCAGTATGCCGAGATCATTGGGTCAATATTACCAACACTGGCTGGCAGCATGACTCAGGGGTCCCTGCCCAGCCTGGAGATTCTTGCCTTCTGCATACAGAACATGTGCAGTAGATTGTCCCTTCGGACAGTTCTACCCATGCAGTGCCACTCCCTTGGATCAAACACTCGCCTGCTTTCACAAGCAACTGCCACCTGCACCTGGAGCGTGTGTGTGTCCAGGCAGGGGGACCTACAGGAAGCTGCCTTATATGCAGAGTGAGACCAGTGTTACATCTACCCCAGTACCCTCTGCATGAGCCGGCAGCGGTACTCCCCACGAGTTCAGACAGAAACCTTTCCCAGCTCTACCAGGAGATGCCAGGGATTGAACCTGGGACCTTCTGCATACAAAGCAAATGCGCTACCACCAAACGACCGCTCTTCCCCAAGGGGAGGAGGTGTTAGCGCTGCTACGCTCTGCAGCTCAAATTGGGCCCAATGGGGCCACCCAGAGTGAGCAAGAAAGCAAGAGCAAATTATGCCGCTCTTGACGGCAGAAGCCACCACCTCTTTCCTTTCTCTGACACATTAGGAAGGATTCAGCTTGCTCAGCTCAGTCGCCATTGCCCAACTCCCCAGGCTGCTGTTGCCTCTGCCTCCCTCACATGTATCCACCTCCTCTGGGCACCTTTGGGTTTGGTCCCAGTCTTCTTTCCTGTGCTGTCCAAAGAAAGAGAGTAAAATGGCAGCTGCATCTTGCGTTCTTTCTCTGAACAGACCTGAGGCCCCAGACTAGAGATCAAGGGCAAGTAAGCAAGAGGAGGTCACAGCATATAGAGCTCTCTAGGCTCAGTTCTTCTGCCACAGCACCACCTAGAAAGAGAAGTCAAGCAAGCAGAAGCAGGAGAAACTTTCCTACTGTGTCTATATCTGTGCTCTCCCTTTCAGTGGTAGAGCAAACTAAATCCTTGCATCCACGTCTCTCAGAAGGAGAGGGTAGGTGAGCAATTGGAGACAGCCCTAGCCATTCCTTGCTACCACCACTTGCCCACTTTTGCAGGTGAGTGAGCGGCCCCTTCCCTGTGTCATCTGCATGTCATATAGCAAGGGGGCCCACCTACCCAAGAGCACATGGTTAGCGCATGTTAGTTTTCCTGAGGTGCTGGGGCCTCAGTAGCTGCTGGTTGCTGCCAGTTTTGTAAATAAACACATGCTTCTCCTGCTCCAGAAACAGCTACAGCTGGTTGCTTTACTGCTAATTTGCCACATTAACATTAAAATATTAATCAAGAGGAAGGAGAGCCTAAAAGCAGCCTCATAAAAAAGGGAAAACACTCTAATAATGACTGGAAGCACTAACCTAGTTTTCTTTGGTTGTGGGGCATGCAAAACATGAATTACATGGAGTAGCTTCAGATTCCTCAGTCGCCTTTGACTATGTTGCTTCTTAAGGATTACAGATACAGTGGTACCTCGGATTACAGAGGCTTCGGGTTACAGACACTTCAGGTTACAAACTCTGCTAACCCAGAAATAGTACCTCGGGTTAAGAACTTTGCTTCAGGATGAGAACAGAAATCGCACAACGGCGGCAGCGGGAAGCCCCATTAGATAAAGTGGTACCTGAGGTTAAGAACAGTTTCAGGTTAAGAACGGACCTCCAGAATGAATTAAGTTCTTAACCCAAGGTACTACTGTATTGTGTACTCTTCAGCAATTAAACCAAAATATTTGTCAGTTACATGTCGATAATCAGCACCGTAAATTAAAATCTCTTTACTTATAAGCATGCACTTAAAAAGGGAGAATTAATCTACCTTTCTAGAACTATCAGTAATGTGAGGATATCAGTGTTTTTAAGGTCTCACTCACTGGTGCCCCACCAAATTGGCAATTGTGCCACTGCAAGCTGTATCTAAATATAAAGCAACGCCACACTAGTGCATTCTACAGTACATATAGCATTTCCATGTCTTCAAGTGGTTTTGTCTATTTTACTGAGTTGGAGAGCGCACTCATGCCATGCGTTGGCTACCAAGTATAACTAATCCAAGTTAAGCAGTCCCAAGTACATATGCTGTTAACCATTTTTTCCTTCTCACAGTTAATATCCTCGATATATTTAGAAGCCACCTTTTAGAAGCCACCTAAACTTGTAGCCATCACAATGTTTGGTACCAATGAATTCCTTCAATCAATTATGTATTACATGGAGTTGCACTAGCACTCTTTGTTTGCCCTGAATAAACAGCTAGTTAATTTCATTGGATAACTCTGAGTTCTCTGAGTTCTAGTGCTTTGAGAGAGAATAATTACCTTTTTCTGTTCACTACCTCCACAACATTCACAACTGAATAACTTTCTGTTATTTTCTTGCTTATTTGTTCCTTTTTCAAGCAAAAAAGCCTTGCTTTGCAGGAAAAATGCTTCTTCACTCATCATTTTTACTGTCTTCTCCCGATCGACATATCTTTTTCTTTTCTTTTTTGAGACAGAGCAAATGTTTGCACCAGATGTAGGTGTAGCATAGATTTATATAATGTCATTATAATATTTGATGAATTATACATAGTTTCTTTCCTAGAAATTCCTGCCACAGAATTTGCATATTTACTGTTGGAGCACACCAACCTGCCATTTTCACTGAGCTTCTCACCGTTATCCCATGGTCTCTTTTCTAGTAAGTTAAAACCATTTTAGAGCCCAACAGTATATATCAAAATCAGAATAAATTATTTTTTTAGCCAAAAGCCTTACAAAATCACAGATGAAGCTATGCAAATTAAAATAGAACTGGAAAAAGCTATGAATCAATTGTCTATCATACTGGTGAAAACAGAATAAAATCACATAGAAATCAATACAGTGGTACCTCTGGTTACGAACGCTTCAGGTTACAAGCTCCGCTAACCCAGAAGTAGCTGCTCCTGGTTGCAAACTTTGCCCCAGGATGCGAACGGAAATCGCATGCCAGAGGCACGCGCGCAGTGGGAAACCCCATTAGCAAAAGCATGCCTCAGGATAAGAATGGTTTCAGCTTAAGAATGCACCTCCAGAACGAATTAAGTTTGTAACCAGAGGTACCACTGTAGTCCATCTTACAAACATTTTTATTAATTCCTTTTATATTTAATGGCAGTCAGCACATGTATAGCTACAATGCAGATAACTTGCTGGAATTTAATCCAATTTCTGCTGGTTTGTCCAGTTTACATAATAATTTGAAACAGTCTAAAGAAAGCTTAGCCCAGTGTTTTAATTGATGGGCTATTTGAACAAATAGGTTCCCACCCCCACACAGCTATATTCTCACCAGTACAGAACTTTAGTTTGTATCAGATAAGAAGTTAACACTCATCCAGTGCTGTAGAAAGAAATTGCTGCAGTCTTCATAAAGTGAAAGCTCTTCTTACAAACAACTTTGGAAGTTATATCAAGTAATTCTCCAGTGCACGCTTAAACATAAACAGCCTGTACCATGGTGCTATTTTTACTTCCACCAGTAGAGATAGATCTTGCTAGATAAACATGTCTGTTGTTCTCCTTTTAAACTCTGTTTATTTCTGCCAACAGTTCAAGTCCAGCAAAGCATGCTAGTGAGAGTTCATGCAAATGAATCTGAGTGATTTCCTAAATCCAAGTAGGCACCTCAGAGCAAGTAATCTATAAATGTTCCCTGAGACAAATTTTAGGGAGTCCATCGGTTGTCATGTTCATAATTTTAATCCAATAATTAAATAGAACCCTGCTATTCAGTTATACAGTTACTCAGTTTAGAAATATTATTTTGGGACTGTTTGGAACTTTAACGTCCCTGAATCATTTGTTCCGTATCCAAATTTAACTATTTCACTGTTCTGACTGACTCCAGTTACTGTGAGAATAAGTAACACTATTCCTATTACAATTTCCTGGTGTTTGCCTTCCTCACTTCTTTTCAGTGAAGCACCTTAAGCCTCTGAAAAGGATCTTAAGTTTTGGGAGAAGATAACCTGGTTCCAAGCTGTTAATTGTTGTTCTTATTATTGTCATTTATTAAGGGCTATCAACTTACCCTCATACAACATTAGTAAAAAGACAACTTCCATCTTGAGCAGGCACCCCGAAACTTGGCCTTCCAGATGTTTTGGGACTACAACTCCCATCATCCCTAGCTAACAGGACCAGTAGTCAGGGATGATGGGAATTGTAGTCCCAAAACATCTGGAGGGCTGAGTTTGGGGGTGCCTGATCTTGAGGAACTTACAGTATAAGTATTGTGTGGGGTGGGGGCAGTAGAGGGAGTTGAGGGGAGAAAGACAGATTAAAGGATAATGGGTGCACATTTGGGAAAGCAATTAAGCATAGTGTCAGTAGTTGATGAAGATTAAGGGGTTGCATTAACAATATTCAAGGAAGAGGTGGGACTTGAGGAAAGCTTTTACCTGTGGCACCACATCATCACTCAGTGAGGGCATTCTGGAAAGAAGGACAGCAAGAGAGAATTGGTGGCATCCGAGCAGGAAACATTCAAGTGGCTTTAGTTCTAAATGTTCTTCTTCTTTTCTTTTCTTTTTGTTACAAAGCTCTTCAGCAGAAAAAAAAGATATTTTAGGTATGGGTATCCCTCCAGTATCTTCTGTTGTGCAAATAATGTTTATTCCTAGCCTTTCCCTATCTTTTTCCAGTATCCCTTTTCAGTACACCCCCCCCCCCCCGTCTAAGCTCGTGTTTCTGCTGTGGCTCCAACTGGTTTCCTTCTGTTTAAATAAGTTTGATGCTATCATTTAAAAAAAAATAAATCTTTAGCAATATGTTTATCACAAACGTTCTGGGCATGTAATATTATTGCAACTTTACATTTTATTTGCCACGTTTTGTGCTCAGGGAGGCTTCCCTTACAAAGTGGAGATCTCCCTAATGGGAAAATGCATGCACTGTCCAAGAAGAAAAAAAGAAAAAGTAGAAACAGAAGAAGCTACGCTGGTTTCTGCTCTCTTTTTCGGTGATTGTTCAGACAAACAAGCCTATGGTTTCTTAACTCCCTTGCCAAGAGTGCTCCAGTTTCACTTGTCTGTCCACTTGCTTATACATGGATCCTATGTGAGATTTTGCTTCAACTCCATTTCTTTTTGGGTAGCCCTTCTCCATTTTCGTGCCTCTGCCACCCGCTGTTTCTCATATCCTTCCCCCCTCCCACCCCATGTGTGACAGCTTATGTCAAACTAATAATAATAATAATAATAAATTTTATTTATATCCCGCCCTCCCCAGCCGAAGCCGGGCTCAGGGCGGCTAACAACAATAAAACAGTACAAAAGTACAGCATAAACAACACTCTAAAATCATTCATTATAAAATTAATTAATTCAAGCCACTGGCAACCATTGGGCCAGATCTCCGCAAAGATTGCCGAGGGAGGGAGTCAGGCTGTGCCCTGGCCAAAGGCCTGGTGGGACAGCTCTGTCTTGCAGGCCCTGCGGAAAGATGTCAAGTCCCGCAGCCGAAAAAGCCCTGGCTCTAGTTGAGGCCAGCCTAACTTCTCTGTGGCTTGGGACCTTCAAGATGTTTTTATTTGAAGACCGTAAGTTTCTCTGTGGGGCATACCAGGAGAGGCGGTCCCGTAGGTACAAGGGTCCTAGGCCGTATAGGGCTTTAAAGGTTAAAACCAGCACCTTAAACCTGATCCTGTACTCCACCGGGAGCCAGTGCAGCTGGTATAGCACCGGGTGAATGTGATCTCGCAGCGAAGACCTCGTAAGGAGTCTCACTGCAGCATTCTGCACCCGCTGGAGTTTCTGGGTCAGTCTCAAGGGCAGCCCCACGTAGAGCGAGTTACAATAATCCAGTCTGGAGGTGACCGTCGCATGGATCACAGTCAGGGCGAGAGAGGTAAGGAGCCAACTGCTTAGCTTGGCGGAGATGGAAAAATGCCGCCTTTGTTATAGCTGCAATCTGCGCCTCCATGGAAAGGGAGGTGTCGAAGATTACACCCAAACTCTTAACGGACGGTGCTGGCACTAATTGCGCCCCCGCAAGAGATGGGAGTTGCCCCCCCAATCCCATATCGTCCCGTCCCAGCCACAGGACCTCTGTCTTCGAAGGATTTAGCTTCAACCGGCTCCCACGTAACCATCCAGCCACAGCTTCCAAACATCTGGTCAGTGTGTCTGGGGCCGAGTCAGGATGGCCATCCATCAACAGATAGAGTTGGGTGTCATCAGCATACTGATGGCAACCCAGCCCAAACTCAAACACAACAGATGTGGACTGTTGTGAACATTCTGTTGCTGACATCTGCCCTCAGCAGATAGAATCATAGAATCATTGTAGAGTTGGAAAGTACCCCAAGGGTCACGTAGCCACTGCCAAAACAAAAAAACATTTTGTTCTCTCTGTGTAGGCCATATGCAAAATCCTTTCCTCTTCTTTTTAAACTGAATACCGTTATTGCAAAAAAGCTGAGGCACAAGTCCTCTCACCCCAGACATACTGCTCCATATTGCGACCACTTCCATTAAGACATATATCATTCCCTCTAACTGCAAACTCATGTTGTTGAGTGAAAATGTTGTTTGAAAGTGAAATGGGGCCATCCAAAAATAATTTAGTAGCTTCAACATACTCGTGATGCCCGAGGCATGCAGAAGTACATGAGTTTGTGACTTAAATGACAATGGTTTTTGTTTTTGTTTCCAAAACTGCCAACAGGAACCTGCAAGCTTACAGAATATTGATGGCAGTTGAACCAAGAGAAGGCCTGGGGCAGGGTCTAAAGAAATCAAGCAGTCCATAGCCCCTTCATTAATTGCACGAAAGAGCTTTTTGTGTACAAAGGTGCGATGAGATCATACCAATGGCCCCATCCCACTCTAGAACAGGGAAGGGAAACCTGTGCCCCTCCAGATGTTGGAGTCAGGGCCAGTGCTATCATTAGGCCAATTAGGGAGCCACTTAGGATGCAAACCTCAGAGGGGTGCAGTACTGACCCCCCAAGGGGCACAATTTTATACAGATTACTTATTCTTGCAATTTAAAATAAATTTAGCAGTTTCAAGTTTTTTCTACAAGTTTTTGAAAATTGGTTAGCCATTTTTTGTGGGGGCATTGCATGTGAAAGTAGTTAGCCTTGCCTATGATGCAAAATAGCCTGGCACCAGCACTGGTTGGAGTCAGTCCATCTCCTATAAGGCCCAGTCAACATGGCCAATGGTCAGTGGTGATGGGAGCTGTAGCTCCGCAAGAAATGGAAGACGAAGGCTTAGCTACACATACTCCAGACCTTCACACATCCCTTTCCAGGGATGTTTGTTTGGGGGATGGAAGCATTGGAAGCCCTTATCTGAACTTCAACCTACTTATCCTGTTCCAGTCTCAAGCCGGTCTTCAATATTAAAAGCAACTTATTTCAAGCATGGAAATCTAGGACTCCCTACCCCAAATGGCTCCCTATTACTTTAGTTGGAAGGGGAACCCCATAGTTTTTCCTTTGTGTGTGAACATTGGGTCCCTCTGTGGAACTGAATAGGGGCTCACATGAGCAGGTGATCAGAGCAAATAGCAATACAGAGGAAACAATTTCAGGACTGCAGTCTTTTGAGAATAGATCTTTTTCTTCCAGTTCTGTGGAGTTCTGTGAAGTTAGCAAAGCAAGGGTTCATCATATTATATGGTACGAAATTTGCAGATAAACTTTTGTTCCTGTTCTTGGTTAAAGGCACTTAAAACCTCTGTTTGCTGTTTGATTTTCACTTATGCAAATCATGGCAGTTTGAAGGTCTATCTAACATAAAGCTTGGTCAGCAAAAAGTGAAATAGGATGAATCTACAGCAAACTAATCTCACCTCCTACAAACAGCTAGTCATTGTTTTTAGGAATGAAGTAGGCCAGCAAAAGGTCTCTTTGTAGTGCGGAAGACTGAAATAACATCAATCGACAACACAAATTAACTACAAGGACATTTATTGCCTAATGACAGCTTCTGTATCCAAAATTTTAAGGCTCAGGGATCAGATAATGGTTATTAAGAGAAAGTTCCGAGGCCAACGATACCCTGCTTGCATCTGTTTTT